AAAAAAAAAAGAGGGCCAAGGTGGCTCACGCCTGTAATCCTGGCACCCTGGGAGGCTGAGGTGAGTGGATCACCTGAGCTTAGATGTTCAAGACCAGCCTGAGCTAGAGCAAGACCCTGTCTCTAAAAGTAGTGAGATGTGTGGCTGGCACCTGTAGTCCCAGCTACTTAGGAGGCTGAGGCAAGAGAATCGCTTAAGCCCAGGAGTTTGAGGTTTCTGTGAGCTGTGATGACAGGGTACTCTGCTGAGGGTAACAAAATGAGACTGTGTCTCTAAAAAAGAAAAGAAAAGTGGTCAGAGGGGAGTGTCCTGCCAGAAAGAGTAGCATGCACAAGATGTGATGATGAATTGGTGTGGTAGCTCCCAGACCCTGTAAATTGTTTGGATTTTTGTGTAGTTTGGGAATGAGAGGTGGGCTTTGAGATGAAGCCAGAAAGGTGGGTGGGGGCTAGGTAGAGAAGGGCCTGGGGGCCATGCCCAGAGGGTGGATGTCATCCATAAGGCAGGATGGTACTGTGGGAGGGTTTGAAGCAGGGGAGGGCAGATTTATGTAGGCAGTCATGGGGAGAGCAGTTGGAAGCAAGACTGGAGGCCGTGGTGGGTGAGTCAAAAGGTCATAGGAGCCATGCAGGCACTGGGGTGAGGTGGGCCTCAACTAGGGCCATAGACATGGGCCCAAGAGGTGGTCACAGCACTGGGTGGTTACTTAGGTGTGGGTATCGAGAGTGGGGCTGGGGTTTAAGGATTGGGCATCTGAGTTGGATGGGGGGCTCCCTGTTGACTGGGAGCATGGCAGAGGGAGTAGCACTGGGAAGGTGAACAGAAGGGAGGGCGAGCTGTCCAGCTTGGACACACAGAGTTTATGCTGCTTGAGGGTCAGCCAAGTAGAGAGGATCAGGAGGCCTTTAGATGCATGGATTTGGAAGATGAAGATGGAGAGGCTGAAGTCACTCTGGGGAGAGAGTGGAAAAACAAAGAAGGTGGTCCAGACCAGGTATCTGGTCATCCCTCTTGTAAGGGTGGGAAGAGGAAGCACTGCCTTACGAGGAAGATGAGGTGTGATCAGTCTGGCTGGAGCAGTGATTCTCCACCTGAGCGAGGTGTGGAGGCCGTGAGAAATTTGATGGAATTTGAGCCTTGGGAGGTTCTTTCTAAGTGGGAAGGAAAGGACTGAGAAGGTGGGGAAGCTGCTAAACATCCTGCCATACCCAGAATTGCCCCCATGACAAAGGGTCATTTGCCCTAAAAGGCCAGTAGTGCCGAGGCAGAGATACCCTGTGCTTGTAATTTCCATGCAAGTAGCAGCTGCAGGGGTCCCCTTCACCTCAGGGTCCCTAGTTCCTGGTGTGTAGAGCTGTGGAATGAATGAATGACATAGAAGGAAAACCAGGTGACGCCAGCAGGTTAGGTCAGTAGAGGGTGGACAGTTGTCCATTGAACTTTTCAACAGGGAGGTTGTGGTTCTGGTGCTGCCAGGCAAAAGTGGCACTGAAAGGGACACTGGGACACTGCTGCTTTGCAGTTAGGCCTGTGCTGTCTTTATTTTTGGCATGAGGGTTCATCAGTGTGATGGCAATAAAATTACGTGTTGTTTTCTTTTTGAGACAGTCTCACTTTGTTGCCCTGGGTAGAATGCTGTGGTGTCTCAGCTCACAGCAACCTTAAACTCTTGGACTCAAGTGATCCTCTTGCCTCAGCCTCTTGAGTGGCTGGGAATGTAGGCATCCGCCATAACGCCCAACTATTTTTAAGAGATGGGGTCTTGTTCTTGCTCTGGCTGATCTCGAACTCCTGAGCTCAAGTGATCCACCCACCTTGGCCTCCCAGAGTGCTAGGATTACAGGCACGAGCCACTGTGCCTGGCCAATTAAGAGTTATTTTTGAAATATTTATAAGTGCCAGGTAGCTAGGAACTTATCTGACATAAATCATTACAGGCATCATGGGTATTCTTTTTGAAATCTAGGTCCTTTTTTTCCCTTTCCCAAGGCACAAGCAGAAAACAATTCATTATCCTAATAGGAATAAGATGTTAGATCTTAGCAAAATGAGCTAATATTAAGGAACAACCCTTTTTTGATCAATAGGAATTACTCCAGGTCTAAGTACCTGATTTTTTTTTTGTTTTTCTTTTGTTTTCTTTTTTAATATAAACACAGGAAAATTGTGAGGCCGTGCCTCACAGAGCAACTGTCTATGCGCAGCTGGTGGAGTCCAGAAGGATGTGGTCTTGGAATAAGCTATTTCCCATCCGTATTCAGACCAGCCTTGGAGAGCAGGTCATTGTTCCTCCCTTGGAACTGGAAAGGTGCCCTGGTGCACCCTCTGTCTGTGACATTCAGCTGAACCAGGTATCGCCAGCCGACTTCACTGTCCTCAGCGATGTGCTGCCTATGTTCAGGTACCAAGGAGCCAGCCACCCTGGTGATGGCACTATGAGACATTTGATGGAATTTGGGTCTTAAGGTTCTTTTTGAGTGGGGAGGAAACATAGCTGATGTCACTTGCCCCTGAAGGCAAGCATCTCTTGCAGCCAAGTAGCATTGCTATTGAGGTCACTGTAAAAGATTAAAAATGGAGTGAGGTTAAAATATGCTTAAGTTCCTACATGTTCTTCCACAGTGTGGACTTCAGCAAGCAAGTCAGTAGCTCGGCAGCTTGCCATAGCAGGCAGTTTGAACCTGTGGCATCTGGCCGAGCTCAGGTGGTTCTCTCCTGGTGGGACATTGAAATGGACCCTGAGGGGAAGATCAAGTGCACCATGGCCCCTCATTGGACACAGTCAGACTCAGAGGTGCTCCAGGTAAGAGGCAGGAGCTAAGTGCAATTTCATGTGGATCAGGAAACTTGTCCACTGTTGTGGGAAAGCAGCAATTGACCCTTAGATTCACAAGAACTTTGAGAAGGCAGTGTGCGAGCATCAAAGGCAAAGAAGAGTTCTTTTTTTTGACAATCTCACTATGTCACCCTCGGTAGAGTGCTGTGATGTCACGGCTCACAGCAACCTCAAATTCTTGGGCTTAAGCGATTCTCTTGCCTCAGCCTCCCAAGTAGCTGGGACCATAGGCACCTGCCGTGACACCCAGCCATTTTTTGTTGCAGTTGTCACTGTTGCTTAGCTGGCCTGGGCTGGGCTTCAATCCGCCAGCCTCAGTGCGTGTGGTCAGCGCTGTAACCACTGTGCTACAGGCACTGAGTCAAAGAAGAGTTTTTAAAAAGAAAGTACAACCTGTCTGTAATAATGTGACCCTCTCAGTCTCAGTGCCCGTGCATAGCACAGTGGTTACGGTGCTGGCCACACGCACCGAGGCTGGCAGGCTTGAACCCAGCCCAGGCCAGCTAAACAACATTGACAACTGCAACAAAATCAGCTGGGTGTTGTGGCGGGTACCTGTAGTCCCAGTGACTTGGGAGGCTGAGGCAAGAGAATTGCTTAAGCCCAAGAGTTTGAGGTTGCTGTGGCTCTGATGCCATGGCAGTTTACTGAGGGTGAGGGTGATGTAGTGAGACTGTGTCACAAAAATAAAAAAAGAATATCTTTGGAAGAATTCCTAGAAATTGGTAAAAATGGTTGCTTCTGAGAGGAGGAATAGAGCTTAGGAGTAGAAAGGAAACTTCTTTTTCACTGTATGTCCTTGTATTTCTCAAATTTTCTCATGTGCACGTTGTGTAGCCCCCCTTCACCCCAACACACAGACTCAAAAGAAAGCAAACACTAGGGAAGACAATTCAGGCCTGAGAAACCAAACCTCTCTCTCTCCAAGAGCACTTTAGGCACATCCTTTATGTGTTCAGTCTCCAGCCTGCCCCGTGTGACAGTGACCTTTGTTTTGCTTGCTGACCTGCTAGTTCTAGGTGTACACAGTGCTGACTTCCTGGAAAGCCTTAGCAGCTGCTTCAGCCCCTCTCTGAGTTACTGCCTGGTCACAGGGTTGGACTGCTGAGAGCTGCTGTCCACCAGCCTGGGCCTTTGAGCACCTTGGTCTCTGCTTCACCTTCTGGTGCCTGTCCTGGGCAGGCATCCGCCCAGTGTGTACTGACTTCCCTGCACATGCTGCACGCTTCCCTGGATTCCTGCAGGCTGTGTGTGTGTGTGTGTGTGAGTCAGAGTTTTTCCACAGAGTTGAGATTGGTACTCCATTGCATTCTTTCTCTCTAGGAATCTGGTGGTTGCAAAATTAGCATAAGTATATCATTAAAATATTAATACTTTTCATTTGCATATCTTTAGAACTGTGTGTATATGCTACATTTTCCTTGAATCCTCTTGTGAGACACGTGGGTAGCCCCCCAGTACCCAGCCTGAGACTCAGCAGGCCACAGGGAGTTGTTGCAGGGCCTGTGCTCTGGACGCAGTGGAGGGGGTCTTGTCCCAGGTCTTCTGACTATGTGTCTTGCGTCCTTTCTCTGCCAGCAATGACTTTTGGACTGTTAGGAATTTGAAAAGTGCTAATGATAATGAGTCTTC